AATTACAGGCCTCTCTCATCTTTTTAAGTGGGAGAACTTGCACAATTGGTGGCTGACTAAATACTTTTTTGCCCCACTGTATATAGCACTCTTTCTTTCAGCCTCTGTTCCTGCAACCTGTTTTTAGCACCGCTCTTTGGAACATCATCCCCCCAAAAGATCAGATTAGCCCTGACCCTACTGGCCTTTGGCAAGGTCTTGAAGACATGGCTTTGCTACGGGGTTGGGGATCTGGGTGTCCAATGAAGCCTGTACAATGGTTATGTTATTTTTTTTTACACCTTGGCTGCAGATTGTTACATAGTTTTTGATATGGTTTTATGTGGTTTTTATATTGTGTTCTTTTTTAATCTTTTTTAATTTCCTGTAAGCTGCCCAGGGTCATGTATTTGAGATGGGCAGCTGTATAAATCAGAATAATAAGTATATAAATAAACCTGTTAGTTGGGCAACTAGACAGGTTGCTTAATCATTCACTTCCAAGCATCCAGCTATGCACACCCAACCGTGCCCCACCCAACAGTGTGGAGAGTGAAAGGTGATTGCTTTCTTGCTAGAAAATGCGGTGATAGGGAAAACAAAGCCAGGGGGTGTCACAAATCCCTTTCCTTAATCCACATGCCATCAGTAAGGACAGCACCAACAATTGGCTTTATTGCTGGGTCAGGACAGGGCTAAGCAATCAAGACAGCACATTTTATGCTGGTATAGTTTTCTACCAGCTCAGGGACTTATAGGAGTACACATTAATCCAGCCATGTGACTAGGTTCTAAAAACAAGCAACAGGTCCTTGCTTCTACTGTAAGCCATGTACAGCATAAAACAAAAACAAATGACTATGAATTCAAGGTGGACCTGTACATATGGTTCAGGATTTCATAGAGAAGAACCATGGTATTTTTTTCTGGAATCAAGACAACATAATATCTTTGCAAGATATCTGGCAACATATCTTTTTTATTTTTTTATAAACATATTTTCCTTTTTTAGTAATGTTTTTAAATTGATGTTTTATGTATTTATATATATTTATGGTTTTAATGTTTTGTGTGAGTTACCCAGAGTCCCCCACTGGGGGAAGACGGGTGGGGGAGAAATTTAATACATACATAAACAAACAAACATTCTGCCAAAAAAAAAAGTGATTACACATGTGCACAGCCTCCCACAATAATATAGTCCATCCCCATGCATATACAATTTCTGTATTTTTATTAGCATTTCACTTAATCCTAATTGTACTCACTCACACACTCTTATCAATATGTAATTTCATTACAATTTTTTATCCAGAAGTGACTTAAGATCAATATTACTACTTACTAAATTTTATGTCATAATCAAGAATAACAAAATACTGGTAATATAATGAAAAGTACAGTTTAATTTAAATACTTCGCTACAGTATCAAAGTCTAAAGACGCCTGCATTTTCACATCAGATGATTTAGTTACAAACTCTAGATCAGGGTCTCATTGGCTCATCAAACACCTTGGCCACCCAAAATGTTTTAACATCATTTCTAGAAGGCGTTTGCCAGATTAGGAGAAAGTTAGGGAAGATGCATCGGCCGTCCGTAGTAACAGGAGGGGCTTTCTTTAGATTGCACTTTTGCCGGCTGTGGAAAATCTTCAGCGGAGAATAATTCCAGCGTTGAGGATCAGCCGTGGGCAACGAATCCCCGCTTTCGACGCAGAGAGTGCTTCCAGGGCAGAAAAGGGGTTGGCAAAATGCCCAGATGGCTTCATCGAGCAGGGCTACCGAAGCGTTCTGCACATGCTCTGACGCAGTCAGACCGAAACGCCATCCTTGCAGCAGAGCTCTGCTTTTAAAGTCTTCGAGGTGCCGTACTTCCCCCTGCGAGGTCCGCGCAGCCTTCCCGCTCCCAGCCCGACGGTCTCTTGACTCCCCCCGCCAGGGAAGGCGCAAGCGGGCGTCTCCCGCTGCTGTTCCAGCCCGGTGTGGGGCGCGGGAGCAGAGACCGCAGAGCCAGCAAGACGCGGCTCGGACGCGCGTCCCGAGAGGCTCGCTCCCTTCCCTTCTCTTCTGGCGGGAACAGCTGCTCCCGCTCTCAGCTGCAGCAGGAGAGAAGGAAGAAGGCGCGCGGAAGCTTGTCTTCGCGCGTTCCCTCCCTCCTCCCGCCCGAGGGGCAGCACTGCAGAGATAGCGCTCTTCCGCACCGGGGAAAGGCGGGCGGGCGGCCGAGCGAGGAGGGGGCAGCGGCAGCCGAGCGGCCGCCGCCAGAGGGGCTGTACCTTCCACGCCGCAGCGCCGGAGGATCTTTCCTCCTCCTCCTCCTCCTCCTCCTG